TGTTGTTGCTGCTGCTGCTGCTGCTTCTGGCAAGGCTCTGGCAGCAGCTGATTGTTGCTGTTGCTGATGTGGGTGTTGCTTGTTTTGTGGTTTTTGCATAGGTGGTGGCTGTTGTTGCTGTTGGTTGTTGTCATCATCGTCATCTATATAGTAGCTGTAGTTTGTGTTGTTGCTGCCATTTTTATTGCCAACAACGGTTGCAGCACAAGTGGATGATGTTGTTGTTGTTGTTGTAGTTGTTGTTGCTGCTGCTACTGCTGCTGGATGCTTGCGCTTGTGTCCGGTTATGCTTAGAGCGGCCGTTAGACTAGAAGCCGCATGCAATATAGAACGCTGATTAAAAATGCTATTGGAAGCAGCCGCCGCGGCCGCATTGTTGTTTTTGCGAAATTTATGATGATGATGCTGCAGTGGTTGTTGCTGTTGTTGCTGCTGATGCTGATGTGCTTGTGGCATTGGCGGTTGTCACGAGCAGGCCACCTCAGCTGTCGTTGCGCTGTTGCTGTTGTTATTGTTGTTGTTGCTACTGCTGTTGCTGCCGCTGCCATTCGCTGCCTGCTCTGGTGTGGTGTCCATGCAGCTATTATCGGAGCCATTCTTCGCGCCTGCCTTGAAATTGGGTGCACTCATTTGCGCAGCTGTTGGCGTCGTAGGCGTTACACCGCCCATTTCACTAGAGGCATTCGAATTTTCCTCAGTCAACTGTTGTAGAATTATAAAGAGTCCAATTAATATAAATTTATATAAAGCAATAGCCATGTTAGGAGCTATTTACCGATTCACTTAATCTTTGCACCTTATTGCCGCTATCGCGTCCTCTTGGATTTGTGGGCGGCACCTGCTCTTGCGACTGCGCCAGCTCTGACGACAGGCGTTTGCGTTTCGCCATCATCGAATTATTGAAATTATTGTGATTTTCCATCGATTTGCGTTCACGTTTAAGAAAATCGGCATCCAGGTAGACCGACAGCTGTTTGCGCTTCACATGGCGCGCTACAATCGACATGCCCTCCTTCAACATTTTAATATTTACCTGCAATCGAATTTATGATTAATGACCGGGATTATATCTCTTTACCATCTGCTACTTACGCCATGCATATTCACGTGTTCGGTGAAATTCTGTATGCTCTCGGTGAGGTCGATGTTGAGGTTCTCGGAGCGCTCAAACTCCAGCCCAATAAACCAAAGTGAGCAATAGGGCGCTGTAGTGACGGCTGCTTGGGCCGACTGCTGCTTCAAATCATCCTCATTGCCGCTGTTATTCTGCGAATTATTAGCAGTCGCAGCGCCCTTCTTCAGCTCGAAGCATTTGGGATTCACATGAGCCAAGACAATGTGTGGAATCCTCTCCAAATTGCCAATTAGCAGGCGCACCTTCGACTCAACCAGACCGCACCATTCCAAATGATCGTCGGCTGTTTGAGAGTTGACGAGCAATACAATAAAATGACGATATCTGTAAAAGAAACTGGGCGCCTCGAACAGGCGATCCCAGCCAACACGGCCAAGCATTATCTCATCCGTAATGCTCATGCCGCGATTAAATTCGGTCAATATGACCTTCTTAGTAGACTCCGATACATTGAATGTGGAGTTTTGTTGTGGATAAGCGGGCGTTATTATTGGCATTAAATGATAACGATCCGAGGCATTGACACGCGGATCCCAAACCTAAAATTGAATCGATTTTTATGCAAATAAAGATCACATATTTTAGATGCTATATTTTTGCTATATACCTGAAATCGTAGATTCACATTGTCTAGGTGTTTAAGCAAAACAGGATTAGGCCACTTCCAGCGTGAGAATACCAAAAAGAATTTGTGCACCAGCGTGGCAGCAGCTGCATTCGGATACAGCTGACATGTGCGTGCCACCAGCATGGCCCAGGTAACGCCGCCAAAATAGCCCAGTGAATTCGAATAGATGCCATGCCCTAAAACACAAAAAGGATGTGTAAAACAATTGCTTGAATCATGTAAGGTTGTTGCTCTCACTCTTTGCCCACAATTTGATGGCGCGCAAGGCTAGGCGAAAGTTCTCGATGTTGGGCACCAGGGCAAGTATTTCGTCTGTTACACGACAACCATTCAAACTGCGCACCGAACGTGGGTCCAGGTTCTTCAGCAGATTATCGTCGCGCAGATCAAAGTCATCTGGTATCTCTTTGAGCGAGAGTCGTGCGAATAGCAAATCAATTTCAACGCCATCAAAATTCATTTTTATAACGGGCACAAATGCCTCCTCGACAGATCGACACTCTGTGACCTCGGGCTGTTTCTTTAGGATCTCGAAGAAGCTCTGAAAGTAGTCTGAACGTTCGATATTGCGTGGTGCCACGCACAGGGCATCAATATCCGCTCCCTTATGATGCACGCCCAATCTGTATGAGCCAAAAGTGTAGATTTTGCCGCCCAATTTCTCGGCCGCAGCTTCGGGCATATTCTTGCTAACGGATATATCCTTTACCCACTGCTTGACGAGCGTGTTTAATTTGGCTAAGATCTCCATGCGATGATTCAGCTCTTCCTGAGTCTCGAAGACATTGTATGGCTCCAGGGATTTGCTTAGCTCTTCAGTCCTCTGCAAATCCTCGGCACGCGGCTCCGCCAAGCTAATCGCTGATGTAATGCCCAATTGTTTGGTAGTCTGGCCGCTGCCCGAGGTAGAATTGCCATTCTGTTGCTGCTGGCGTTGTGTTGGTTCGGAATTCCACATGGTGCCGTTGCTTTCCTTTATATATACGTGTATATATATATATTTAATTACTGCAAGATATTTGTAATGTAATTAAGCTATCCAGTAAGGATTAAATTTTACTCACCTAACTAGTCTTACAATTTAGCTGGTTTTTTTTTTCTTTTTGACAAACTTAATAATTACGTTGCTGTCGCAGTTGTTTTTGCTGTTTCTCTGTTAGCAATAAATGGAATTATATTTCTTGCCCTCTAGCGCAATATTAAAATGCTGCAAATTAAATATATATATAAAATATATTATAAAGTTATTGAAATTTCATAAAATTAAAATTAAAATTTTATGTTTCCAGTAAATTAAAACATTTAATTTATTTGCATTTTTTTTTTTTTTTTTTGTATTTTACTGTCGCAATTTTTATTTTTCAAATTATCAACCAATTATAATGTACATTCAAATTCCAAAAATAGTATAATAAATTATTTATATGCATATACATTTCCAAATTTCCGGTAAATTTTCGCATTGGTTTCGTAAATACTTCTTTATCGCAATGCAATTGTTTGTTTTTTGTTTTTGTACGATAAGTATTCGGTCAGTAGATGCTAGCGAAAACGATATAAACAAACAAACAAAAGATCTGTGATGCTCGAAAAAAGCAAAAACTGTTAGTGCTCAGCTATTTCAAAAGTGATACTAAAAAAGCTGTAAAAAGCTAAATAGCTCAGTGTGAAATCACAGCTAAAAAAGCTAAATACCGAAGCAGTAGTTTGTTTGAATACGTTAAGTTTTTTGAAATTCTCAATAGTTATATAGACTTATTAGGCTTATGACAGTTGTATAATAAGCAGATACAATTTTTTTCTCTATTTACTTTAAAACAACAAAATATCAAATTAGCTGATGACTACAGAGCATATAAAATAAAAGCTGAAGGGAACAACACTGTTTGACAAAGCTGGCCACACTCAAGAACGGAACCGCGAGTGAGAGCTTTTCTCCTCTTTGTTGCTGCTCTGCTTCCCAGCATAAACAAATGCGTAGATATCAATTTTGTGTTGTATTTGGATAAAAGTGCAAGCTAATTGTCGGCACATAACAAACATAAACAGAAAAGCAACAGTAGAAGCAAATCAAAACGGAATCACAAATCATGAGATATTGCGAGACACCCACACACACTCACATTCACTGGTTTAATGACAACGGACAAAAAATTCACTCGCATATATATACACGCAAACGCACACACTTACAAAAGATGCAGGCAGAACTTGCGTATACACAAACAAATGGCGCTGCGTAAGGAACTTTTAGGTACCGTTCGTTTGGCTACTTCTGTTTACTGCCCACTTACCTGCGCTTTTTGTTGTTTTACAGTTGGGCTTAGAGGCTGAAGTTACGTTATATGTATGTTGTTCTTGTAGTTGTGGTGGTGGTGGTAGTGCTTCAAGTGTATGCGTGTGTTTTGTATGAATATGTGTGCATATGTATGTATATATGTAGTTTGGCAGCGTACGAGTGTTGAGGTCCATTCATTTGTGTCGTTCCGGCTTTTTTCGAAGCACTTTTTCTCCTCTTTTCGTTTTTTGTTGCTCCGCTTGTATTTGTTATTTGTGTCGCGCTCTGAATGTATTTTATTCGTCGCGCGTTGTCTTCTTCATGCTCTCATCTCTTTCATATCATATTCGCTTCTATGCCTATACCCACATGTAACTTTTTCTTTTTCTATTGGCCTGCTTCTGTTTTTTCCTTTTGTTTTTTGTATGCTACGTGACTGTGTGACTCGTTCGCTGACTGACGCACGCCATACACAACACAAATCTGTTTTCATTTAATTATTAATATTCCAATATGATGGACGCGCGCACTGCATTGATGAAATTGCGTAGTGTTGTTTTTTCTCTACTTTTTCTAGTGTGTATTCATTTTCGGTTTCCGTTTTACAGTTTGATTTGCGCGTTCTACAAATTAATATGCCAAGAACCGCAACGAACGATACGCATGTGTGTGTGAATATGTGGATAATAAAAGAGAAGCCAAAAAGATGCAGAGTTGCTTCGCGGTTTGATATCGCTGGCCATTCACGTGCAGACGTTTGAGTTCTCGCTATCGGCTATTTTTAATTCATGCTTTAAGAAACATGTATTAAGAGGTATTTTCATAAAAATCAATTATTAAATTAAGAAAATCAGTATTTGTGTCTATAGTTATGGTTTCTGCACATTATTGTAATGTGGAACGTATGAATGGCCATATTCCCATTTGAATGTAGTCCACAGCGAGTCTAACGGTGTGGCAACGCCGAAAAACAGCTGTGCAGTTTATTTGTATTTTGAGTGAATTGGAAAAAATAACACTACAGAAATACTGAAACAACATGTAATGTAAAAGCATTTCAAACAGACTTGATGGCAGCCACAATATGATACCCTGGATGCGCGAAAAGTTCAACGAGAAGCGCGCCAAATGGTTAGCACGCAACAAGCAGCGCAGCAACGCAACAAACGAAACCGAAACAAATTCCGATTCAAGTCGACGAACTGTCACCAGCAGCAGAGTCAGCGGCAGTGCCAATGGCAGTGCCAGCGGCAGCGACGCAGGCAGCAGTCTTAGCCTGCGCAGCGGCAGCCAGGTGCAGACGACGGAGATGGAAACGCAAACGGATGTCGCTGACGTTGGCGTCGCAGTCGGCGGCGGCATTTGCGTTCTGCGCACTCCGTCGCCGGCACGCAGGCGGCGCATTCAATTGGAGCTGCAGCTGCAGCAGGAACAGAAGGCCAGGCATGCGGAACAGCAGGCGAATGCGTAAGTTGCCAATCAAATAAACAATCACTGTGAAATAATAATTTTGTCTTTTTTTTTTTATTTTGTTTCATCCAAATTCTCTGTTGGAACCCACAAACACTAAACAATAACACCACAAAACAAACTATGCAAAAATTGCGCAGTTTGTTTCTTAGGTAAGTGCGAGGCAGTACACTAAAGTCGATCGACTACTTACACTATTGTTTTTTCTGTTGATAGGAAAAACCATGCCAGGCTAGCGTCAGCCTCAACCTCGGTTGTTGATGATCCGGATGTGGGCAAGGCTGGCGCAACCATAACCGTGCGTGTTATCTGTCCTAGTTCCCGTGTCCTTATCTTCAAAACGGACATCAACAAGCGCCTGAACGATCTCAAGAGTGAAGTCATCTTGGAGCTGAGCGATGATCCAGAGTCGATACAGCTATTTGCGCCCGATGTGCGTCACCTGAGTCCACGCTATCGCCTCTTCAAGGCGGAATACTGTGGCGGGGAACTCAACGAGGCGCAGACACTTGCTCAGCTGCATGTGCGCGACAATGAGACCTTCATCCTGTCACCCAGGCGAAACACCCTGCCACAGACTGTGACGCGCACTCGCGAGGTGCCTGGACCAAACGATGCGTTGCTGGAGAGTGCAACGCGCTTTGTGCACGCCAACACCAACTCGCTGCCTATCATCGACATCAATGAGATCTTTCAGCAGTCGAATGTGAGTGGACAGCAATAGCTTGTATAAGAATCCTTAAACGTAGTCTCTTTGTAGATCCAATACGATGTGCGCAAGGTGCTCATCTCGCTCGCTCAGGCTTCGGCTGCCATTATCGGAGCTGGGCCGTTTGCACCACGTTTGATTAGCATGCTGAAGCAGCGCTTGGTCAATCGTCGCAATCATCAGGCGGATACGCTGCAGTGCCTCGTTGACATGGGCTTCACCCGAGAGATTTCCGCCCAGGCTTTGCGTTCCAATAATGGCGTATATTCAACTACCTTGGAGTGGCTCATACAGAATCAAAGGGAGGAGGAGGGCGGCTCAGGCTCCGTATCGACGCCCATGAATATGCATCAAAGTGTCTCCTCCATATCGCCCTCAACCATAGTTACCGATAATGTAGCGCTCTAGACTATATATTAAATGATATAGAGACTAATTCCTACCTCTCTCTCTGTCGTTTAGGAGACCATTGAGAACACGGCTGCTCTTTTGCAAATTGTGCGCATCTACAGCCATCGCGATACGCCGCCAAATGACGAGATTGTCGAGTCCTTGACGGAAATGGGCTTTGAAGAGGATGCCGTGCTTGCCGCGCTCAGGAAGACGGGCAATAACAAGGCCTCCGCCTGTGACTGGCTGTGCGAAAATCGCTCGGGCAGTGTCATTGAGCTGCGCGAGGGTCTCGCCCCCGATTCCCCAATACTTAAAGTAATATTGGAAATGCCGCAAGTGCAATTGACGCTGAGCAATCCGAAAACCTTTTTGGGTAAGTGTGTATTAACGATAAATGCATATTCATTCTCTCTCGCGCTCAAGAGCCTTTGGATCCGTTTGTTTTTGTTTTCTGTTGAGCGCCTTGAGTTGACCTATTCGTTTATCGAACATCGTTTAGGGAGAGACACGATTGACGTTCGCACGATGAGAATCAGTAACTGAGCAATAGCGCAACGTTTCTGACGTTCACATAAACATACACACATGAGCCATGTGTTTAGAGAACATTTGGTTATTATTGTAAAAATCGATCGTATAGGAAAAATCAAAAGAATACTCGGTGATTCCTTTTGTCCCATACCATATACATTCATAGTATAACTAGCATAGTAAATTTCCAGATATATTATATTTATTTAAAGAGATATAAAGATGAGAATCAGCTTAAAGTCAATCCAAACCTTTATAATGTATACTCTGAATGAGTATGAAACATTTGAATTTCACCTGGTATATTGTAGTCGGATACTGAGATTCTTTTACTATCTATATACTATATATATATATATATATATATATGTAGACAGTAATTAATTTTATAAATTAAAATTAGTTACCTTTACTTTTCCCTCAGTAAGTCTCTTATTGGGATAAGTTATATTCCATATATAAATTATTTTCTAATATTATGCTTTCTTTCATTTAGCCTTTTTGGCCATATTGGAGAACGAGAATGCGATACGCGTGTGGCGCGGCGACAATGACACCACCTCCGTTATCACACATATCCTGCAAAAGTATCACGAGGAGAAGCATGTGATGGGCATCAATCAGTTCTACGTCAATCGCTGGTGAAGTCGAATGCTTTTTAATAGTGGCCTAATTATTGAGATTAACCAAATTCTATTTATACATGCATATATACATATACAATATATACAATTACCTATAGAGAGAGAGAGACAAGCAAACACAGACACCAAAACACACACGCACATACACACACACACACACACACACACATACATACATACACTCATCTATATATACATACATATATGTATATATACTACTTATATAGCTACGAGCAGTACATATTTTACAGTTAAGCGCATTGAAGCCTCAAGTATTGTATAAAGAGTATTTTTGTAGCAAAAAAAAAAAAAACAAAAGCAAAAAAAAAAAAAATAATTAAAAAAAAAAATTAAAGCAAAAAGTAAATTAAAAAAAAAAATAAAATAAAATAAATTGCACCAAGCCAAAAATGCAAAATGCTTCGCCTACACAGAGCACATTGGCTGCAATCGACAAACGCTTACCGATCAGTACGAAATGCATTAGTCTATAAAATATACATATTATATATATAATATATCATTTATCATCTAGTCATGCCATGTTTTCTAATCTCTCGTCATTTATCTCGAATGTATTGTGAAACTCGCACAAAACTTGTCCCACAACTATTTTAATCCTATTATCGTAAAAGAAAATTTTAGTTGTAAAATTTGTCAAACTAAAGAGTGAAAATTAACAAATGCTAATGGAGAGCGCATTAAGTATTATTTTGTACAACAAATATTGTATCTCTATTATTTATAAGTAATAAAAATAATTAGTTTTTGTAAAATTAAAATTGATTTTCATTAATTAAGAAAGATAATATAAAAAAATCTGTAAGCAAATGATATGAAAAGATATAGAAAAGACTAATTAATTGGTATATATTTATTTATAGATATTCATAATGATATTACGATCTCTGTGAAGGTGCAAATATGAAGAATGTTTTAAAGAGAAATTCCAACCGTGCTTTGTATACGAGGTCTATACAAAACATATCGCGAATATTGAATTTCGTTTATTCATATACCCGATTTTAAAATGCAGATTTTGATAAGATTTTAGTCGTCTTTCACCTCTGCGTTGGACCTTTAGATTATATATACAGATTCTTTGCCCATTTTCTAAAAATCATCAAATATCTGTATACTATGAATGTTACTATTCTAAAACATTTGGAATTATCCAAGAACTAACTATTAATTTTTGGCGATCCTCTCTATATACAGTTATATTTTATATTATATCAACAAAATCCATATTATTTATATAAGAGGCCTGTTGAAAATTGTTTGCAAATTTTTTAATTTAAATAAGATTTCATTTAAATAATTCATAAATATAATTTCTTTCAGCCCTCGAAGCATTTCAAATAATGTTAACAGCACAACCTCTGGCATGTATATGTTATCTATTCAACATAAATTTAACTAGTAAGTAATACTTAAGATTATTTTATATTTAGTTAAATTAGATTAAATTTCGTTTTATATTTCCATTTCTTTTCTTTTATATTAATATATAAATAAAACTCTTAAGCACCACCCTCGCAGAAATACCTTCAAAGTGATTATCATTGCTAGAGATTAGAAGCGTAAAACGTGTTCATAATGCCCTCTCAATACTTTGTACCTCGTGTTATATTTAACAGCAAAAAGCAATTACTCATACGCCACGTTGGCCTACATAAAAACTTTTGTCTAATCAAGTGGGCGTTTGTACTATGTGAGTCATATGTAATCTCTAGAGTTATCAAATTCATATCAAATGAATCATTCCAAACTGTTAACAATCCCATTTGATTTATTGATAAAACAAAACCTCAATGTGGAAACCCTCCTATCTAGCTATCACACGCACCTCCCAATTTCTCTATCGGGGCAAATGTTTCCAAATATGGTTGATAGCTTTTAATTAATATTTATTAAATGGTATTTCTGTTTCTGAAATATTAGCATGTAATTTTTATTTGAATAGCTTTATATTTGCATTATATTTTTGTCTTTTGTGAGGTTTTTCGTTTTAATGCTGATTTAATAGGGTATTGTGGGGAAATAAGAAATAGCCGGAAGCCTCAACTGCTTAGCTGATTGTTATTAGAAAACATTTTGGGTTCATGTTTTGAAACCCGATTTTTATATGTTTATTTGCAGAATTATATAATATAAATAAATATGTTTATACCCCATCTACGACGAATATGGAGTTAATAAATAATTCTGCAGTAATGCAGGAAATGTCAATATTATCATTCAATTATCATATATTAAATTATTAAATTATCATATATTATTTTACCATTATTTAACCAAACGTTCGGTGAAAATCAGAGTGGGAAAAGAGAAAAGGATCTTCTCTGATCGTGAGCGAACTTGTTGAAAGTCCGATTCTCTTTAAGTTCTCTTTAAGATCACTGTTATTTGGATAGTGATCAGACTCATATTTACCGACTTCTAAAGGTGGTCTATAATTATATGCAAACTTAAGTATATTGACATTCGTTCTCTGGCTTCTCTTTGAGGAATTTTTATTATTTATATAATGTATATTAATTATATTGGAATATTTCTTTATAGATCCCATGTTTTGTATTATATATGACATTTCATTTCATGAAAGTATATAGCGAGTTTCCGACTCGCCTCCGTACTCTTCTTTCTTACTTTCCATAGCACTCTACGCTTATCCTTTCTCTTCTCTTTATAAGTGAAACATTTCCTTATAGATAACTACTTTATTGTACAATTCTAAACCCCCAAACTTCCGCCAAGCTGTAAGTGTATCTAGTTTCCGGCTAGCTCCTACTTGACTCTTTCAACTTGTTGACTAATGTTTCACGCACTCGCCACGCCCCCTGCTCAAAGTCCTTCATTGCGTTTTTTAATGCTCTGTGCACATATGTTATGTGTGGAAAATGTTTTGCAATTTGTTAAATTTTATGGAGTTCTTTTTATCGTTGTTGTTGTTGCTGTTGTTTGTCGTGGCTAAAAAGCGAATAATTTAACAATTGCACTTTAAATGCATTACAATTAATTTTCCGAGCGACCGCACATTTTTCCATTCAACTGCAACTAAAACAACTAAATGTAATTTTTGTTGTTGTTGTTTTTGTTTTGTTTTTATTTTTATTTTCTGCTTATGGTTTTCGGTAGATTTATGTTAAGCGCGTTTATTTGGTGGTCACGCATCCGTGAGATACGCAGATACTCGACTGCATGCAGATGCAGTTGCAGATACTTTTGGCTTTTACGAGTGGCTTTTAATTAATATTTTGCGCACATAATTGTTAAATTGTCATATTGTTAAATTGTTTAGGAAATGAGCAAAGTTGAATTCATTTAAAATGCTTTTTATTTGCTCCAATTTGCGGCTGCAACAGCTTGTGGCAGCTGCAGCTGCAGCGCTCGCCTAATGGTCCTTTGCGTCTTGTTTATGCAAAAATTGATGACGCACGGCGGGCGAGGCGTGGCCGAGTGGAGGGGGTACGATAATAAATCATCTGCTGGCAGCAGCAGCAGCAGCATCAGCCAACTAACTACTAAATCGGAGTGATATACCCGGGCGAGTGGCCCAGGCAAATGAGTTTTTGATATTATCAAAAAGACGAAATGCATTGACAAGCGAGTAGACCACGCCCCACTAGCCCACCGCCCTACAGTACCCCACACAATGTCAAGCTGGCAGCTTAGCCGCAGGATAAGCGACACACGCCCAAGCACTCCCCAGGCAGCCTATAAAAAGACATCAGGACATCAGGAGAGTGCGGGAGGACCTGCGTGGGGGTTGCTTTTACTTGATATTGTTGTCGTGTGGCTTTCGCAATTTCCGTTGCATATTTGCAGGCGCCGCACAATTTATGGAACTTTATTATCGACTGAAACCAAAAACCAAAAACCGAAAACCAAAATATATATATACAAGTAGCGAAAAAAGAAAAAAAAAAGGTAAAGGAAAGGAAAGCTCATCAAAACAATACGCTGAAACAATTTGGTTTTTCGCAAAAATTTTGGCAATTTGTATGAAAATTGTTTCTGTTGTTGCTGTCGCGTTGATGTTGTTCGGGTTTCATTTGAAATTCTTGTCGCATGCGAATTTTCATTCTGTTTTCTATGTTTATATTTGCCGTAAAAGCCCAAATAACTCCATATAATGCGTTGGCTCTTAAAAATTGCATTAAATATGCATTAAAATTGTTGTCGCATCGGATATCATATAAAATAAAATATTAAAATCGACAGAAGAATGGGCATTACACGACTCGAAGATATGGTGTAAAAAGACTAAGGTTTATATTATAACTCTTATTAAAGATATAGTAGGCGAACTGAGAATTTGGAGTCAAAAATCACAGAATTTTCTATGGAAACTCGAGTAGATTTTATATGTCAAATTTTAAGATCTAGGTCTTATATTTTCTGAGTTCAATAAGGATAATTCCATGAGCTACAATTTTAACATGTCAGAATTCAAAATTATATATTGATTAAAAATGTATATAACTCAGAGAGGGGAATGACTCTAAAACAGATGTCATGAACAATAGACGGGACTTATAATTGAATGATATAGGATGTTATATACCATGCATATATGTACATAGGTAGAGCTTCAAACTTTTGTAATCAGCTAACTATTCCTTGATCGAACCCACGTACCAAGTTCTGTCAAGCTAGTAGCTATAGAATCAGAGTTCAGTGAGGTCAAATAAAATAAATAAAATATGTACAACATTTCACTTCTTCAATTACAGAAAATAAATATTTTTTAATATATACATATATATATAATTTTAATAAATATTCAAATAAAATTGACATTCAAATATACCCTATTCAAAGCCTTCTCAAGTACAGGGTATATAAATATACGAGACGTGCGTTCTGCTCACATCTTCCTCGAGCACATTATCTAGGGGTTTGAGCTAAATGACATTTGGCCAAATGAATGCATTAAATTCTACAACGGGCTAAATATTTCTCCAAGGGCTTTGTGATTTATGTATAATTTAAACATGATTTTCAATTGATTTAATCAAAATTGAAGTCAATTAGTCAGATGATGTTTCCTGATTGTTCAACAATTTACATTGTTGTCACTCAACCTATAATATCAATCGACAATTGTTTTGGGATTTGATTTACAGTTACTTTAATTGAGTTTTTTTAGAGTACATTTAATTTGCATTAAATATAATTAAATAACTTGTAAATTTACAAAATTGTATTTAATAAACATTTTAGTTGCAGTAGTTTTTATTTTATTTTATTTTTTAACTAAAATTTATATTTCTATAAAATACAATAGTATTTTTACAATTGAATAAAAAATATTTTTAATTATATTATGGTAAAACATTCTTAGAAATTGTATATGAAAAAAAAAGCAAATAATTTAAAACTTGATATTTTCTGAATTTTACAATTTTGAAAATACTAATAAATTAGCGTTTTCAACCAATTTAATTTCTCAGTTAAGTTTATATGAAAATGTTCATTACTTAAAGTCTTTCCCCAAGCTCTCCCACTAAACGATTCCTTGAATATTCTTCCACTTGAAATGGTTTCTTATTGGACTCTACCATTCGTCCTTTTTCCCATTTGCTACCCCTTAAGCAAAGCCCCAGACAATTAACCATTTAAAACCAAATCGAACTCCTTCATTAGGAAACATTGCGAAACATGTTGTCAAATCTGAACTTGGGGCGCATTTCATTTATATGCCATAAATACTTGTACGAAACTTGCAACGCGACATGAAAATTAAGTAGCGGCCACGCCCACACTACAACTTACC